GTCTTCTCTCTCTCTCTTCATCAATGTTTACAGGGTTAGCTTATGAGTTAAACCATTTTTTTCAAGCTGAGAACTGTTTTAAACTTAGGTCAGTTATTTTAAGCCCTTTATTATACTGAGACATACTTTATAGGAAAACAAGACAAAGTTTGAATTTATTCCTTGGGCCAGCGATTTTATTTGGCCCAACTGACTTTATTTCATCGATTCCATTATACTGTATTAACATGTTTCCAGACTTGAGTCATTTCTAAAAAATTAAACGATCTCAGTTGAAGTAATTCTCTCGAGATGTGTTACAGTCTGTGTATAGTTGCTGTTTACTTGCCATCTTGTTGTGTAGAAGCTGTCTTCTCGATGTCTTGCAAGTGGAGCAAAGAGTGGTTTTTTTTAGTTGGTACACTTGATAACAATGGGCTTGTACATAACTGAAAGACCGCACACATTTTTCACTCCCTCAGGCGTTAAGAATCTGAATGAATTGTCCGAAATATCAAGGCTGAGTCCAGGCTCCAGGGCGGGAATGAATCTTCTTGCTTTGTTATATGTTTCCTTCAGGGAGTCATAGATGAGATTGAAGTCAGGCAGTCCTAGAAAATGAAGCATGCTCGAGGAATGAGTGCACATGATGTAGTTTTTCTATTTTAATAATGGCCATAAAGCACATTCCCCTGTGGAAAACTGACATCGAACGTATGAGAGTGTCTTGTTGAGTTCTAAATCATTGAGAACTACTTCGCAGTTATTTAGTGATTAACGGCGATGTGGATCATCTAAAAGTTAGTTTTCAATGAGGCTAGTCTAGAGCCCACGTATCCTAGAGCTCGCATTGGTCTCTTTACCAAGAATCCTAGTGTATACTATTCGAGAGCCGCTATAAATGTGTCCTGTGCTACTACACAGGCTGATCTGAGTTAATCAGTGACTGGCGCCACTTTAGTCTTGGGAGGGTTAACTAAATTATCAACTACACAGTTACTATCTTGGAAGTTCATACTGACGGTCACCAAAGAAGCCGAGCGGTAGTTAAAAAAGGGCAGTTACCTGCCAGAAATTATTGTGTCGAGAATTTTTGCCAGTGCATTGACAGGTGTGACATAGTCTGTAGTTGCTGTTTACCATTCTGCTCTTTTTCTTGTGGAAAAAGTTTAATTTGCTCTTTCACAGAGAAGGCCATTTACGAGGTGACTAGGCAGTGTTGATAGTGCGAGTTTGAGGCGATTCTAGCTGGCCTGCCACACCTACTCAGAAATTATTGGCCTAACATCTGTGCTAAAAAACCTTTTCTTGGTCCAAAGATTTAGGTGTTATACCTGCTTCTTCCTTATTGTCATCTCTGACAACTTTGACACAGTTCTCGCTGCTAGCAATAGGTGGTTTTGAATTACTGGTCAGGAAGTTAATTTATTAGCGTTAAGTGTTTTGCAAAGACGTCTTCCTTTGACAGCCTCATATTACAATCTTTAGGGTAGAATAATTCCTTCATAAATCACTTTATTGATACTGGACTAAGGGACGCCAATTTATGGAGGCCAACCACCTCCTGTCTCTGTCTCTCTCTGTCTCTCTCTCTGTCCTCTTCTCTCTCCCTCACCTTTCCACCCTCTCTTTTTACACAATTGAGATTCTATAACATTGGGTTAGCAGATTCATTCTTTTATTGACGATCAATGCGCTATTACGTAGTCGGTTCATTTCAAAACTTTACTGCTGAATCTAGGTTAATTAAATTTGTATGTCATAAAAAAAAAAAAAAGTACAAACAGGGAAAGGAATGAAAGTTGGAGGAGGTGATGGCTAGAAGAAATTTCATTCGAATCTAGGCGGGTTTTAAATTTCTTCGATGATTGTTTTTCTCGTACGAACATGGTTTCCAGACTCGAGGCATTCCAGGAATCGAATGATGTCTGGGACGGAAATCATGAGAAAGGGCAATTGCATGCGTTTAATCACTGAGAAATAATTTAATCATTGTAATTATGTGGTGTGTTGATATCATTTTTTGTTTAGATAATTAATGTGCAAAATCTTCGTTTTCGTTAATATACAAATTATATTTCCTTTTAATCTTTCGCTAGCAGTAAACCCTACTGCCAATTTTTCTTTCACATAAAATGACATTTCGAATAGAATATCTCTGCCAAATTGGTGACAAAGATCCAAATTGTTATCAAACATTACTTTTGTCTCTACCACAGGGTTACAATAAGACAATTCAAACTGAATTTCCGATCTACTGATCTTTATTATTAAAGCTCAATACAACTACCCTTACGATAAGGTCTCTAACGGACTAAAATTTGTTTTGGTTACTCTGCTAAAAAATATATTTTATGTGAAATTATTAATCACCCAATAGTATGAATTTGAACATACACTCTAATCCACATAATTCTCAAAGGATTTGAAAATTGAAAAGGGATTTTCAAAGCTTAAATAATAAAATTATATTGATAAGAGGTAAGAGGCAAAGGTGTGTTGTACCGACCGGTGTCTGTACTGCAACAAAGGAGAAAGCGGACGTGAAAATTGAGCCCATACTGGAACATCCGACCTTAAATCATCTCAGTCATTCCAAGGTTAGAATGATTTGGATGAATATCACTTCCTTCCTTGTCTTGAATGTATGTGATTTATGGTGTAAACATATTCAATCCTCTGTTATTCTCACACTCACACACACACACACACCACCAAAACACACACACACACACCACACACACACCACACACACACCAATCTCACACTCACACTCAAAACACACACACAGAACAAACTACCACACACACACCACACACACACTCAAATACACACACACACACACACACACACAACACACACACAATCACCACACAAACACACACACATACATCACACACACACACACACCAAACACACACCACACAACACACACACACACCCACACACACACACACACAACACACACATACACAAACACACACAAAACACACACACACAAACACAACACCACACACACACACACACACACATACAACACACACACATCAGCACACAACACACTCACACACACCACACACACAACACACACACACAAACAGTAACAAGGGGACACATGTTGGAAGAGCATGTAAGACAGAGTTGAATCTCGAGATGCTAGGAATGTTATTTTCTTCAGCCAAGTTGTAGTCAGTAAGTGGATAGTCCTTGGGATATCAAGCGATGTAGTGGAGGCAGGATCCATACATAGCTTTAAGCAGAGGTATGATAAGGCTCACGGCTCAGGTAGAGTGACCTAGTGGCGATCAGTGAAGAGGCGGGGCCAGGAGCTCGGACTCGACCCCCTCGCAACCTCAAACTAGGTGAGTAACAACTAGGTGAGTACACACACACACACGCACAACAACACACACACACACACACACACACACACACACCACACAAACACACACTAACACAACCACACACACACACACACCACACACACCTCACACATGCACGCACACACACATACCACACACCAACTCACACAAAAAACACACACACACACACACACACACACACACACACATCTTCCACACCACACACACACACAAACACACAAATAAACACACACACACATACAGACACACACACACACATATATAGACAACACACCAACACACATATATAGACCACACACACACTCACCCACACATACAGACACACACACAAACTTATATTTTGACAACACACACACTCATTATACCAGGATTTACACCTTCCTGTTGACGTGACCCTTTAACCCTTCCTTTCCCCCTCCCTATCTCTCTCCCTCTCTCTCCTCTCTTTCCTCTCTCTCTCTCTCTCTCTCTCTCTCTCTCCGTCTCTCTCTCTCTCATTCTCTCCTTCTATCTCTCTCTCTCTCTTCTCTCGCCTCTCTTTCTCTCTCCCCCTTTCTCCTCTTCACCCCTTTCTCTATTTCCTCTCTCTCTTACCTCTCTCTCATCACTCTATTTTTCATCCTCTCTCTCCTTCCATTCACTCTTTCTCTCTCTCTTCCTCTCTCTCTCCCTCTCGCTTTCCTCTCTTCCTCTCTTACTACTCTTCTTCCTACTTCTCTCTCTCTCTTCCCTTGTCACTCCCCCTCTCTCTACCTTTTCCCTCTCTCACTTTTTCCCCCTTTTTTCCCTTCTTTTTCCCCTCCCTACTAGGTCCCTTCTCTCTCTCCCTATCTCTCACTCCTCTCCCCTTTTTCTTTTTCTCTTTTCTCTCTCTTCTCTTTCATAAAAAAAAACTAATGGTGGGACTCGCAGGATATCAGGGATCAGAGGAAATGTACTGGTAGGAGAAGGAATTGGATGGCAGGAACAGTGGAAAAAGGATTAGAGCAGAATGGGAGAGAAAATTAGGAGAGCATTCTGAAAATGGAGAAAGAGCTTTCTCTGTGAAATGGGGAAATGAGGGTTGGAAGATGGAGACGATGAAATGGAGGCCACAAGTCGAAACTGCCAGTAGCAAGGGATAAAGGTCCTCGAATTTGAGGTAAACAGGCTGAAAGCAAGTCGAATGGTGGTTAGAGACAGAGAAGACACACCATACGATGTGAGGGTGAACAGGAAGGAAGGTGATTATGGAATTATGCTAAGGTCATATCAGCCTGCAAAGAAGGGCCACAGTTGGTGGAAAGGGAGAGCTGTTGGGTGCAGAGGGTAGAGGGAGATAGGTCGAATGCTGTGGCACTAACACATGCTATCAAGAGCCCACTGGAAAATCAAGGGAGAAATGACCACAAACAGACAGGAAACCAGAGTCACAGAGGTAGAGGCAATTGGGGAGGAAAGGGCAAACATCAGTGGATATCCATGGGGTTCGGGAGAGTGAGGGAAAGGACACACACTGAAAGACGGGCAGGAAAGAAAAGAAAGGAGATTGAGAAAAATCATTCACGGACAATAGGGAGAGGAAGACTTGGATGAGATTGTAAAATTATTTTCAGATGATTAGGGGGGTACTTGAAGGGGAGAAACCGACCGATCAAGATGATTCTCAGGGACAAGAAAACAGTGCAGGAACAGGATCCTCCAAGAGAAGAAACCACGGTTGAAATAGTTCGGAAAAGTACAAGAAGGTGTTCTTAGACAGAGACCAGAACACAAACAGAGAGAAAGCAGCTGTGGGAGAGGGAAAAAGCGAAATCTTTCATTTGTAGCTAGGAAAGGAGACAAGAATGGAACCGCAGAGGTCAGTAAAAGCAGAAAGTGCGAAGGGCAAGCACACACACAATATCCTCAGCCCCCCCCCCCCCCCCCCCCCCCCCCTGAAAACCCCACAACCCTTTCACACCATCCCAACACACAATACAATCCATACCCACAGCTTCCACCCAAAACCCCCAACCATAGAATCCCACAGTATAGCTACCAGGTTCTCCCACCCCCCACAGGCCCCCCCCCAAACCAAAGTGTTGGAAAGGAAACTGAAGGTATGGTACACAAACGCTGATGGAATAACAAAACAGTGGGAGGAGTGACACGAAAAGAGTCAAAGAGGAGACATCACCACGACATCATAGTGATCACAGAAACAAGCTTACGTATGATAAACGCATACCATCTTTCTCCGCGGGATACCAGAGCCTTGACTCTGAAGAAAGAAAAGACAGAAGGAACAGGGGGGTGGAGGAACTAGTCTGGCATTGCGGATCAAAACACCGTGGAATTTTTATGAGCTGGAGAGAGGAGACAGCGTGAGAAAGAAAGTGATTACATAGCGGAATGCTTCACTTTCTGTGTGGTCCCATACGGTGATAATTGCAGTAAATGTATAACCCACCACAGACTGAGGAGGCCAAGGCAAAAGTTTGATGAGAGCAATAGAGCGATCTGGTTGACACACTGGCTGCTGTGGCCAGAAGAGTCATGCCCATGCAGGGACAAAGCTCCTGTTAATGGGGACTTTAATACCACAAGAGATCGAAATGGAGCCACATGGGGGCCAAGATACGTGGGGCGATAAGATGATGGAGGTATTACTGGAAAACTTTCATGTACCATCACGTAAAGGGACACTACAGAGAAAGAGGTGAGGATGAACCTCAGCAAGGACTGGACACTTAGTATTTTCGCTTGAGTGTGCAGTTATGGAGGACACACTATGAAAGACCCCTTGGGGCCAGCGATCTTGTTGGTTCTTGACTTCGAATTACACAGTAGAGCTTCATGTGGAGGGGGAAGCAGAAGGGCAAGGACCAAATGAAACCAAACTACACGAAAGGGCCGGGGTGGGGCCATAGGGAAGGGTGGGGTGTGAACTACACCAAGGAATGAGGAACTTCTGAATGAGGTCGTGGGACAGAGAATTGGCAGGGGAAAGCCACGTTAATGAGATGATGGATAACTGTTGGCAACAATGTGCAAGGAGGCTGACGGAGAGGGTTTGTTCCCAAAGGGTACACTAGGTATAATCGGAAAAAAGCCAGGATGAGCCTACTTGGTTGCACCACAAAGATGCCAAGGAGGCCCAAAAAACCAAGTGTGCTAGGGAATGGAAGAAATAGAAATATAGAACGCAAAGAGGTGACACCGAGAATAAGGAGAGCAGTCGATAGGAGCCAGTAACGAATATTGCACAGATAAGAAGGGAGGCCCAAAACGTCTAATATGAAAAAACGACTTTAGCAGCAAAAGCCAAATCGACCCGAAAGCTGTTATTCAGACCACATCAGGAGAAAACTAACTCGTTAAGGACCAGGTAAGCAGGCTAAGGATGGAGGAAGGAGGAGAGACATAGAAATGACCGTGATAGTATGTGAGGAACTCAACAAGAGATTCAAGATGTGTTCACAGAGGTTGAACAGAAGGGGCTCCAGAAAGACGGGAGAGGTTGGAGTACACACCATGTGCTGGACATAGTTACACACAATCAGAGGAAGAAGTGAAAGATGGCTTATGAGTGAGCTAGATACCTCAAAGGGCAAATAGTGCCAAGATTAACAATCTCTCACTGGGTCCCTGATGAGGAGGGAGCAGAGGCTCTATGGGTACTCCCCTAACAACAATATTTCATACATCTTTCGAAACTGGGAGATTTGCCTGAGGCATAGGAAGACAGCAAATGTTGGTCCCAATCTTGAAAAAAGGAGAAGACATGAAGCCTTAATCTACGACCAGTGTCACTGACATGTTATAGCATGCAAACTCATGGAAAGATTGTCAGGTGGGAAGAATGTGTTGGAACCAACCTAGTTGTACTCACATAGTTGAGGTTGCGGGACGGTTCGAGTCCGAGCTCCTGGCCCCTCCTCTTCACTGATCGCTTATAGGTAACTCTCCCTGAGCAGTGAGCTTTATCATACCTTCTGCTTAATGCTATGTTTGGATCATGCCTCCACTCACATACGCTTCCAAACTATTCCACTTACTGACTACTTCTGTGGCTGAAGAAATACTTTCCCTAACATCCTGTAATTCATCTGTGTCTTAAACTTCCAACTTTGTTCCCCTTGTTACTGTGTCCAATCTCTGGAACATCCTGTCTTTGTCCACCTTGTCAATTCCTCTCAGTATTTTGTACTGTCGTTATCATGTCCCCGTATCTCTCCTGTCCTCACAGTGTCGTCAGGTTGATTTCCCTTAACCTCTCCTCGTAAGACATACCTCTTAGCTCTGGACTAGTCTTGTTGCAAACCTTTGCACTTCTCTAGTTTCTTTACGTGCTTGGCTAGTGTGGGTTCCAAACGGTCGCCGCATACTCCAATATGGGCCTAACGTACACGGTGTACAGGGTCTCTGAATGATTCCTTATTAAGATGTCGGAATGCTGTCTGAGGTTTGCTAGGCGCCATATGCTGCAGCAGTTATTGGTTGATGTGCGCTTCAGGAGATGTGCCTAGTGTTATTACTCACCCCAAGATCTTTTTCCTTGAGTGAGGTTTCTAGTTTCTTCCGGCCCCCTAGACTGTCTCTCCGTCTGCGTCTTCTTTGCCCTTCCCAATCTTATGACTTTGCACTTGTTGGGATTGAACTCAGGAGCCAATGCTGGACCAGGTCTGCAGCCTGTCCAGATCCCTTTGTAGTTCTGCCTGGTCTTCGATATCGATGTGAATTCTTCTCATTAACTTCACGTCATCTGCAAACAGCGACACCTCAGAGTCTATTCCTTCAGTCATGTCGTTCACAAATACCAGAAACAGCACTGGTCTAGGACTGACCCTGTGAGACCCCGCTGGTCACAGGTGCCCACTCTGACACCTCGCCACGTACCTGACTCGCTGCTGTCTTCCTGACAAGTATTCCTGATCCATTGTAGTGCCTTCCCTGTTATCCCTTGCTTGGTCCTCCAGTTTTTGCACCAATCTCTTGTGTGGAACTGTGTCAAACGCCTTCTTGCAGTCTAAGAAAATGCAATCCACCCACCCCTCTCTCTCTTGTCTTACTGCTGTCACCTTGTCGTAGAACTCCAGTAGGTTTGTGACACAGGATTTCCCGTCCCTGAAACCATATTGGCTGCTGTTGATGAGATCGTTCCTTTCTAGGTGTTCCACCACTCTTCTCCTGATAATCTTCTCCATGATTTTGCATACTATACATGTCAGTGACACTGGTCTGTAGTTTAATGCTTCATGTCTGTCTCCTTTTTTAAAAATTGGGACTACATTTGCTGTCTTCCATGCCTCAGGCAATCTCCCTGTTTCGATAGATGTATTGAATATTGTTGTTAGGGGTACACATAGCGCCTCTGCTCCCTCTCTCATTCCCATGGGGAGATGTTATCTGGGCCCCATTGCTTTGAGGTATCTAGCTCACTCAGAAGCCTCTTCACTTCTTCCTCGGTTGTGTGCACTGTGTCCAGCACATGGTGGTGTGCCCCACCTCTCCGTCTTTCTGGAGCCCCTTCTGTCTCCTCTGTGAACACTTCTTTGAATCTCTTGTTGAATTCCTCACTTACTTCTCGGTCATTTGTTGTTGTCTCTCCTCCTTCCTTCCTTAGTCTGATTACCTGGTCCTTGACTGTTGTTTTCCTCCTGATGTGGCTGTACAACATTTTCGGGTCAGATTTGGCTTTTGCTGCTATGTCGTTTTCATATTGTCGTTGGGCCTCCCTTCTTAATCTGTGCATATTCGTTTTCTGGCTCTACGACTGCTCTCCTATTCTCCTGGGTCCTTTGCCTTCTATATTTCTTCCATTCCCTAGCACACTTGGTTTTTGCCTCCCTGCACCTTTGGGTAAACCAATGGGCTCATCCTGGCTTTTTCATTATTCCTGTTACCTTGTGTACAAACCTCTCCTCAGCCTCCTTGCATTTTGTTGCTACATATTCCATCATCTATTAACTGGCTTCCCTGCCAGTTCTCTGTCCACTGAACCCCGTTTCAGGAAGTTCCTCATTCCTGTGTAGTCCCCTTTCTTGTAGTTTGGCTTCATTCGTCCTGGCCTTCCTGCTTCTCCCTCCACTTGTAGCTCTACTGTGTATTCGAAGCTTAAAACCACATGGTCACTGGCCCCAAGGGGTCTTTCATATGTGATGTCCTCGATATCTGCACTGCTCAAGGTGAATACTAAGTCCAGCCTTGCTGGTTCATCCTCTCCTCTCTCTCTTGTAGTGTCCCTTACGTGTTGGCACATGAAGTTTTCCAGTACCACCTCCATCATCTTAGCCCTCCATGTATCTTGGCCCCCATGTGGGTCCAAGTTCTCCCAATCGATCTCCTTGTGGTTAAAGTCTCCCATGATCAGGAGCTTTGCCCTGCATGCATGAGCTCTTCTGGCCACTCTAGCCAGTGTGTCAACCATCGCTCTATTGCTCTCGTCGTACTCTTGCCTTGGCTTCCTGCTGCTCTGTGGTGGGTTATACATCACTGCTATTACCACCTTGGGACCGCCAGAGTGAAGTGTTCCCACTATGTAATCACTTTCTTCTCTGCTGTCTCCTCTCTCCAGCTCATCAAAATTCCAGCGATTTTTGATCAGCAATGCCACTCCTCCACCCCCCCTGTTCCCTCTGTCTTTCCTCAGGATTTGGTATCCCGTTGGAAAGATGGCATCTGTTATCATACCTGTAGGCTTGGTTTCTGTGAGAGCTATGTGTGTGTGTGTGTGTGTGTGTGTGTGTGTGTGTGTGTGTGTGTGTGTGTGTGTGTGTACATGCATATATATTTATTTGTGTATTTATTTGTTTATTCATTCTTCAGAAGTCTCTAATATGATGGGCCAAGAGGTTCGAATCGTTAGTCTTCTGTTGTTCCCTTACACGGACTTCACTCGCGACAATGGCAACAATAAACATGCTATTATCACACCAAGAGACTCTCTCGACTTTCGAATAATCAAGAGTTTAGCTGCGACACAGAACTTTACGTGAGAACTGTTATTTCTCCGTGCACTGATTTTGTTTTTCTTAATTATTTATACACGGCTTGAATCTTTATGAATATTGTGTTAAGTGACAAGAATATGTTTTATAATTATTTATGTATATTACAACGTCCTAAACTTCGCTGTGATTTAATTCAGGCAGAAAGATTTTTTTTCACATTTTTCCAATTTGTAGAGACAAAGCGGAATCATAGCTTACACAAATAACCCGCACATGGAAGAGAGGAGCTTACGACGACGTTTCGGTCCGACTTGGACCATTTACAAAGTCACACTAACCAGAAGTGGAGCACGACGGCTATATATAGGCAGGAAGATGTAGTGGTGGTAGTAGTAGTAGTAGTGGTGGAGTAGTAGCAGTAGTAGTAGTAGTAGTAATAGTAGTAGTAGTAGTAGTAGTAGTAGTAGTGGTGGTAGTAGCAGTAGCAGTAGTAGTAGTAGTAGTAGTAGTAGTAGTAGTAGTAGTAGTGGTGGTAGTAGCAGTAGTATAGTAGTAGTAGTAGTAGTAGTAGTAGTGGTGGTGGTAGTAGCAGTAGCAGCAGCAGTAGTAGTAGTAGTAGTAGTAGTAGTAGTAGTAGCAGTAGTAGTAGTAGTAGTAATAGTAGTAGTAGTGGTAGTAGTAGCAGTACAGTAGTAGTAGTAGTAGCAGTAGTAGTAGTAGTAGTAGTAGTAGTAGTAGTAGTAGTGGTGGTGGTAGTAGCAGTACCAGTAGTAGTAGTAGTAGTAGTAGTAGTAGTAGTAGTAATAGTAGTAGTAGTAGTAGTAGTAGTAGCAGTAGTAGTAGTAGTAGTGGGGAACTAAGGAGAGCGCTGCATCAAACTATACATAACAATCACTTTTTCTCTCTTATTACATAAAATGTTATCCAAGATGGACATACTCACAAAGTTTACTTTACGTTGCTTGTTAATTAGGTTAGGTTAGATGTGTCAAGAATCAGGACAGAGTATTTAATTCCCGGGTCTTAGACAAATAACAACCCGCCACTACAGCTCTTGGTCCACGTCTTCATCCTAATGGTAATTTTTCTAATTCACGAAGCAAGATTTTTTCATTGAGAAATATGCATTTCCGTGTATACATGCTTATTTTTTAACTTCTTTCTGTGTTACTGGAAAATTTTCTGACACATTTGGCTAAAGATAGAGAGCAATTTTCGCAGTAAATTTAAAATATATTTGTCAGTTTACTGTATTAAAAACGATAAAAAATGTTCTCCTTTCTCACATTTACCTCACGCAGTAGAAGTGTTGAAACACACACACGCTGGTGGCTTCCGCAGGGTGGGTTCCGTAGCGTGGAGTTCCGCAGGGTGGGTTCCGTAGCGTGGAGTTCCGCAGGGTGGGTTCCATAGCGTGGAGTTCCGCAGGGTGGGTTCCTTAGCGTGGAGTTCCGCAGGGTGGGTTCCTTAGCGTGGAGTTCCGCAGGGTGGGTTGCAGCGTGGAGTTCCGCAGGGTGGGTTCCTTAGCGTGGAGTTCCGCAGGGTGGGTTCCGTAGCGTGGAGTTCCGCAGGGTGGGTTCCGTTAGCGTGGAGTTCCGCAGGGTGGGTTCCGTAGCGTGGAGTTCCGCAGGGTGGGTTCCGTAGCGTGGAGTTCCGCAGGGTGGGTTCCGTAGCGGGGAGTTCCGCAGGGTGGGTTCCATAGCGTGGAGTTCCGCAGGGTGGGTTCCGTAGCGGGGAGTTCCGCAGGGTGGGTTCCGTAGCGGGGAGTTCCGCAGGGTGGGTTCCGTAGCGGGGAGTTCCGCAGGGTGGGTTCCGTAGCGTGGAGTTCCGCAGGGTGGGTTCCGTAGCGTGGAGTTCCGCAGGGTGGGTTCCATAGCGTGGAGTTCCGCAGGGTGGGTTCCTTAGCGTGGAGTTCCGCAGGGTGGGTTGCAGCGTGGAGTTCCGCAGGGTGGGTTCCTTAGCGTGGAGTTCCGCAGGGTGGGTTCCATAGCGTGGAGTTCCGCAGGGTGGGTTCCATAGCGTGGAGTTCCGCAGGGTGGGTTCCATAGCGTGGAGTTCCGCAGGGTGGGTTCTATAGCGTGGAGTTCCGCAGGGTGGGTTCCGTAGCGTGGAGTTCCGCAGGGTGGGTTCCATAGCGTGGAGTTCCGCAGGCTGGGTTCCTTAGCGTGGAGTTCCGCAGGGTGGGTTGCAGCGTGGAGTTCCGCAGGGTGGGTTCCTTAGCGTGGAGTTCCGCAGGGTGGGTTCCGTAGCGGGGAGTTCCGCAGGGTGGGTTCCGTAGCGGGGAGTTCCGCAGGGTGGGTTCCATAGCGTGGAGTTCCGCAGGGTGGGTTCCATAGCGTGGAGTTCCGCAGGGTGGGTTCCATAGCGTGGAGTTCCGCAGGGTGGGTTCCATAGCGTGGAGTTCCGCAGGGTGGGTTCCATAGCGTGGAGTTCCGCGGGTGGGTTCCATAGCGTGGAGTTCCGCAGGGTGGGTTCCATAGCGTGGAGTTCCGCAGGGTGGGTTCCGTAGCGTGGAGTTCCGCAGGGTGGGGTTCCATAGCGTGGAGTTCCGCAGGGTGGGTTCCATAGCGTGGAGTTCCGCAGGGTGGGTTCCATAGCGTGGAGTTCCGCAGAGTGGGTTCCATAGCGTGGAGTTCCGCAGGGTGGGTTCCGTAGCGGGGAGTTCCGCAAGGTGGGTTCCATAGCGTGGAGTTCCGCAGGGTGGGTTCCATAGCGTGGAGTTCCGCAGTGGTGGGTTCCATAGCGTGGAGTTCCGCAGGGTGGGTTCCATAGCGTGGAGTTCCGCAGGGTGGGTTCCATACCGTGGAGTTCCGCAGGGTGGGTTCCATAGCGTGGAGTTCCGCAGGGGGGTTCCATAGCGTGGAGTTCCGCAGGGTGGGTTCCATAGCGTGGAGTTCCGCAGGGTGGGTTCTATAGCGTGGAGTTCCGCAGGGTGGGTTCCGTAGCGTGGAGTTCCGCAGGGTGGGTTCCATAGCGTGGAGTTTGCAGGGTGGGTTCCATAGCGTGGAGTTTCCGCAGGGTGGGTTCCATAGCGTGAGTTCCGCAGGGTGGGTTCCATAGCGTGGAGTTCCGCAGGTTGGGTTCCATAGCGTGGAGTTCCGCAGGGTGGGTTCCATAGCGTGGAGTTCCGCAGGGTGGGTTCCGTAGCGTGGAGTTCCGCAGGGTGGGTTCCGTAGCGTGGAGTTCCGCAGGGTGGGTTCCGTAGCGGTGAGTTCCTCAGGGTGGGTTCCGTAGCGTGGAGTTCCACGTTAGCCACTGGACCAGCTAGCCACAATAAGATTCGTCCAACTAGGTATATTTCTACACCATAGGAAGGTTAGCATAGGCACCACTGTGCCTATGCGGGTTCTATCCCCGCGCGTGGTATGATTTGTTTGCAATCGTGTTATTACGATTTCGTGAGTTATGTTAAAGACTTTGAGGGGACTTGAGCTAGAGTTCGTCACGGCCACGCTAGCCGGAGATTCGTCTGTAAAAACTTGCATTTGTGGTCACAGTGGTGCCTATGCTAACCTTCCCTATGGAGTAGAAATATACCTAGTTGGACGAATCTTATTGTGGCTAGCTGGTCCAGTGGCTAACGCGACGGTCTGGAGTTTTGAGACTCTCTGACGCGGGTTCTATCCCCACCCGTGGTATGGTTTGTTTGCAATCGTGTCATTTACGAATTTCGTGAGTCAATAATGACAGATTTCAATAACTATTACACGATTGCAAACAATGAGATTCATCCAACTTTATTATATATACCTAGTTGGATGAATCTTATTGTAGCCAGCTGGCCCAGTGTCTTACGACTCATGCGCCACGAGTTCAATCCCTGCCCGTGGTATGTTTTTTTTTTTCTCAATAAACACATCATGGGAGGAGAGAAGCTGCAAATATCAAAGTGTAAAATTGATTTGAGGAGAATTAAACACAATGTATACTACATCTTACTACTAGGAGATTTCAGCCTGAGACACATAAAATGGAAGAGTATAGCAAACAATTTTTTAGCAGAGATCACCCCGGGAGGCAGCTCAGATGAAAATTCACACACACAAACTATTAAATCTCTGAAACAAATTCACCTTAAACCAGCAAATATTAGATCCTACAAGACTAGAAAATACGCTGGACCTCATCTTCACTAACAATGACGATCTGATAAGTAATATAACTGTATCAAAGACAATTCACTCAGATCACAACATAATAGAGGTACAGACATGTATGCACAGGGCTCCTGACCAGCAAAATATGAGCAGTCATGAAGGTCTCTTTACGAAATTCAATTTCAATAACAAAAACATACACTGGGATCAAGTAAACCATGTCCTAAACGAAACAAGCTGGGAAGATATTCTAAACAACATGGATCCGAACATTTGCCTTGAAAAATTGACTTCTGTAGTTCTTGTGATCTGCTCAAGACACATTCCATTAAGAAAAAGGAAGAGAAAATGTAAACTAGAAAGAGAGAGACGTTCCCTATACAGACTAAGGCGAAGAGTCACAGAGCAGCTGGGTGGGATCAATATATCTGAAATCAAAGAGAGGTACTAGTCAATGAAATTGCAAATATCGAACTTAAGCTGAAGGAATCTCATAAGAGACAAGAATCACAGGAAGAACTAAATGCCATAAAGGAATTTGAAAAAAAAAAGAAACTTTTCTTATTCCAAATCTAAGGGAAAAACAACATCCAGTATTGGGCCTCTGCTTAGGTAGGATGGGACATACACAGATGATAGCCAAGAAATGAGTGAGATATAAAAGTCCCAATATCACTCACTGTTCAGCGAGCCACTGCCCACTCTAAGGGTCGACGATCCGAATGAATTCTTTATGAACGAAACCCAAAATCTGGTCATCCCAAAAATCTCGGATATTGTTCTAACTCCACAAAACTTTGAAGAGGCAATTAATGACATGCCGTTGCACTCTGCCCCAGGCCCAGACTCGTGGAACTCAGTGTTCTTCAAGAATTGCAAGAAGCCCCTATCACGTGCCTTCAGCATTTTATGGAGAGGGAACATGGACACAGGGGTCATCCCAC